ACGGCCGGGGCTGGTGCTGGACGCCACGGCGCCGCTGAGGCCGGTCGGTGCGCGACCCCGGCCCCAGCAGGAGCCGGCAGTTGTGACCGGGTCGCCCCCGGGCGTCGGTCAGGTGGTGGACGTGACGGTGACGGCGGCGCAGTCGTTTGGGGCCGCCGCCAGCCGGCGCGTGCCCACAGGCCAGCCGTATGTCATCCCAGGTCAGTTGATGCGCCGGCGCGACTGAGACGCCAACCAGGGCCTGCTAAAAGCCTACTCTGAAGGAACTGGTCATCTCGCTGACGCTATCCGAGGCGCTTGGGCGCAGGCCAAGCCGTAGTTGTTTTGTTTTTGAGTTGACTGATCCTGCGTTTGGAGCCGGCTGGTCACAGCCTGGGCTTTATTTGAGGTACGCTGCCGTTTATGCTCACCTCGCCCCTCCCCCTCATATGGGCCCCACTTACGTATACAAACGTTTTTCCGACATCGCCGGCATTTATGGCATTTCCGACATTCGACATAGCCCACTTAAAATGGCGGAAAAAGTTTACACTGCCCCGCACCCCATCCTGCAAATCACTTTATGAAACCTCGTCTCAGCAGCTGGTGACTGAGTTTGCCATATCTCCGCCAAACATCATCTTGCGCATTTTCAGGAGCCTAGGTCGCAATCACCAGGGGAGTGGCGGCGGTGTTCTGATTGCCTCAAATCGCAGCGATTCGTCTGCGGAGGCACAATGAGCGTGACGGCGACGCTCGCAGCGGACGTGGGCATTGTTACCAACATTTCGTCTTGGAAAGCCATCAAAGCTGTTGCTTTTGAGATTGCGTGGGTGGCTGTGCTTCGGTCTCCCCACCCGCACCGGTCGCCTTTGACACCTGGACAAGGTGCTCGCAATATTCAGCGGTGGCGCGACCCGCAGTGGACATCAACGAGCTGCGCCAGCCGGGTGACATCATCACGGAGCCTGACCCGACCAACAACTTTGTCTCGATCGACGGCCGACGCACGTACTTCAGCCTGGAGCCGACCGACGTCTCCCGCAGGGGCTCCTACCAGGTGAGGTCACGAGGGCGGCCTCCCGCCGCGGTCAGCGGCGCCGGCGGACCGGTCTGACCACTGCCGGCGCAACTCAGCGGAAGCGATGTGCTATGAGGTGACGTGTTGTGAGGTTACTGCTCTGAGCGGGCTAAGTGGCTGTGCAAATTAATCAGCTCTTTGCAGGACGCGATTTCCTTTTAATTGAAGTGTATTAAATTCGCATGAAGGCGGATATTAATTCATGATAATGGGATCTGAGAACATTTTGAGCACCGATAACTGTGGAAGCCTGAAGTGAGTGGACCGGGCGGGGATTATGCAATGCACAATTCCTGTCCGGTCCGTCGAGAGTCGTCGTTACGTCTGATGTATTCATTTGCAGGTCATGCTATCAAAGCCAAAACCAGGCTAACCACGCATCATATATGTTGTTTTCAATGTCAGATTTTGACAGCTTCTAGACTACACCATCAATGAGTAACATCTCGAAATGATCCCGGCTACCCCCCCCTAAATCATTCAGCTGGACGAGACTAAGCACTGATGAATCGATTCGGCAACTCCGATAATTCGCCTACCTTTTGTTGTCAACGATTGATGCGGACAATGCCAGGGCCCAGTTCATAAAGCCGTGGAATGTCTCGCGCGGCGTGCTGGCCCAGTGCCGCCTTTCTCTTGCCCACACAGTGCCTGACCAGCTCCCCGTGGTTGGCCCCGGCAGACGGTTGGCCGCCGGTGTCCGGGTTCGCCGGTCAGGCGCGTCTGCAGGCGGCCGGCGGGCGCCGTCGCTCCGGCCTGGCGACTGGCGCCGTCGGCCCAAATCGATGCCCCGGCCCGACCAGACAAGGGGCCGGCCTACCCGGTCCAGCGGCGCCGGCCCTCGGCCGCCGCCCATCAGGTCCAGGCCTCAACCGCTGCCAACGGACAACGGGACGGTGATGGCCTGCGGGGCTTGTTAGGCGGAATTGTTTTGAACCTGTAATCATCGTTAATAGTCACCTCCGACTTTTGAGATGGGCGTGTGCATTTAGGTTTCAGCAGAGGCCGAAAAGGCTGTGCGCGCGTTGTATCGCCCTGCAGAAATGAAGCCAAAAGTCATGTTTGTTTACGAAACACCAACAGCTTAAGACAATCGGTCTCTGGTGGCCCGCAAAGTGCAGTTTCCGTTTAAGTCGAGCTAGCCCGAAGCAAGCATTCCTCCATTTTCACTCAGCTAGCCTTTTGACATGCTGTTGAGCTCCACTGTTCACATTTGGCCGCGCGTGCACACAGGATTGACACGTGCATCGTGGGAGACGACAGCACATGCAAGCGAGACTTCAACGAGCGCTGCCTGACAGAGGGCGGCGTCTCCTCGTGCGTGTGTCGGCCCGGCTACAGTCGACTCCGGCCCCGCACCGCCTGCAAACGTGCGTACTCCGACGTACAGTCGACTCCGACCTCGCGCCGTCGTCACGTGACCAATCCGGGGCTGGCCCCGCGCCGCTGCAATCGGGTCACTCAAGCAGACATTGCACTGTGGTCGGACGTGAATACTCTGTGGTGACGCCGATCCGGACTCTGCACTGGCTGTGAGCGTATTCGCTTTTTGCTGGCCTCGTGTTGCCTGGTCACGTGATTGATCCGGATTTCAGTCGACTCTGGCCTTGCTCTTCACGTGCGGGTGCTGAGGGCCATGCTGGCATCACACAGTTGACCGCGGCGTCAAAATGGCAGGACCTTTTTCAGTATGTAATGTTTGTCGGAGACGGGACCGGGCGTTCGCTTTGGATGCTGTTAAGTTAGTTTCAATAAGAGTGCCTTTATAATGTTGCACATTTTATTAACAACAACAAAATCTGACGCTCGATGAAAAGTGGCGGCCTGCTAAGTATATAGCGAGACGGTTGAGAGATGCTTGTCTTTGCCCTACCAGCGAGTCCCAACCCACACTTGAGCCACACGGGCATGCCGCTGCAGGCCAGCAGCTCACGCGCCGACCCTGTGCTCCGGGCGTGGTGTCTGTAGTCCATGTCAGTTGCAGGCCAGCGGCTCACGCGCCCGAACTCCAGGCGTGGTTGTCTGTCATGTCAGTGCAGGCCAGCGGCTCACGCGCCGACCCTGTGCTCCAGGCGGTGTGTCTGTCGTTCATGTCAGTGAAGGGTGGATGGTGTGGACAAGCAGCGCCTCTCTGGAGCCCCGACTTCAACAACCCCGAGACGGAGGCGTACCAGCAGCTGGCCTGGGATGCCCGGCGAGCGGTCAGTGCGGCAGCACGCTCGCGCGCCACACTGCGGCGGGTGGCGCCACTGCCGTAAGTGGCAAGCCAGTGGGGTGTCGCGCCGCAGACATCATGTGCTCTGAAGAGTATGCTTGTGGCTAGAGAGTTTGCATGCGTTGCGCATTGCACTTTTATGGCCGTGCCGATTTTCTCTGCAGTGTCGGGCTTGTTCAACTCCTAAGTTAGACAAAGTGGTCGCAGTAGGGCCTCAATAAGCGTTGGGATTACAAAAAGCAATCATGCATTACATCCCACATGCTTCAGTTTCGCAGCTGGCGGCCCGCGCTGTTCCATGCTGTGCTTTCGTGCTGTTCCAGATTAACTCGGCCATGACGCAAACGACCATGAAGGACATCTACATGGGGAACGAGATAAACTCGTTCTACTCGCTGGGCGGCCGTCTGATCCTAAACACGACGGTCAGCCTGCTGGACACGGCGCAGACGCGCCGGCGTGAGGTGAAGAACGAGCTGCAGCGTCAGATGATCCGAGTCATCAAGGCCAAGGACAACAATATCGGCGACTCGACCCTGTTCGTCGAGGGACCGCTTAACCCTATACCGGGAATCCAAGGTGGGACGATTGGGACGGCTGGGGCGTGGTCTTCCAAATGCGCTTGAAGGACACTGCCACGTTGGCGGTGCGTTTCATTGCATGCTACGTAAACAGATAGAGGGAAATTAAGTTGGGTCGGCAGACTCCTTAGCAGCGGATGCAATACGATACGATGCCCCTGTGTTCTGGTGATGCCTTTGTCTCCAGTAACGTTTGCGGGTCTCGCTCCTAACCAATCGTCCAGTCCACGGCAGCACGTCTTTTCTCTTCTATGATGCGCCTCAACATTTGGAAAGTATATGTATGCCGCAGCACAGAAGTAAGTTGTGCTGACGTTACTCTGCTCTTGGCCCCAAGTTACTTTTCTATAACGAGCATATGTGGCATGCTTCCAGATTTGAATGAATGTAGCGGCCCGGGTCTCCACGACTGTGACGAGAATGCCGTATGCAGTAATGTGTTTGGTAGCTTTCTCTGCCGCTGCCAGCCGGGATACGACGATAGGTACGTAAGCAGGCCGCGACTGCCGGCGAAATGCCGACAGACACGCTAGGCTTAGCAGGAGGTCAGCCGGATGAGAGATGACGTTGTCAGTTGTGGCCGGCACGACCGGCAGTTTCGAAGCCAAAAAAGCGTAAATCAAGGCGTAAATCGTCACTTGAAGCTGTGTGTTCGGCGTTGTTTTGGTGACGTCTTTAGCAATACTTGGCGGTGTTGCAAGTAGTGATAGACAGGTGGGCACGAGGCTACCAGGCGCCGATGGTCGCCGGAAGCGGGTATTGGAGTCAGGCGGCACGGCGCGGTGTGGCTAGCGCGCGGAGGGCCCGACTGAGGACCACCACCTACCCCCAGGTACCGAAGCGACGTGGCGCGGGCGGGCCGCCACTGCGAGTCCTGCTCAGAGGACTTCTGCGGCGGCCACGGCACCTGCCAGATCAACGACGGACAAAAGTCCTGCCTGTAAGACACGGTTCAGTGCCGCGCCGCTGGGCGACGGCCCGGATAGAGCGAGCGGTGCGCAAAGCCAACCTTCCCGCTACATGGGCTAGTATATACCATAATAGAGCATGGCTACAACACATGGATGCAGCAATATCGGGATTAGCGTCAGCCGAAGATCGCGAACGGCGAAACAATGTACGGAAGGCGGCATGGTTTGTAAACCACCGGTGAATGTCAGTGGGACGGCCAGACGGTGGACCTCGTAGTGTAGCTTCGTCTTTCTCTCGACAGATGTCGCGGCTCATACTACGGGGCGCGCTGTGACATTGACGGCGAGGTGCTGGGCGCGGCGCTGGGTGCCACGGCCGCCGCCGCTCTCGTCATCATAGCCACCTTCATCGGGCTCTGCAAGTGGAGGTAACGATGCGGCTGTTGAACGTCGTCGCCACGCGACGAGAGGACACCGACAGGTGCAGTTACCGTTACGCGGGGTGGGGGCGTGAACATTATCCTTGTCGGGAAAACGATTATCTTCACATACCATGTCAGCAAGTCGAAGTAGTATGTTACAACGGGAAATAATTTACCTAATCAGCTGGTGACAGGGGTGGATGGGGCAAGCGTCACCATATGCACCGATCGGTGCGGCTCAAACGCACCCGATCTGATGACTCGTCCCTTTCACCGGCCATCACCAGCTCGCGCTGTTCTGCCGGTGTGAGCTCGAGCCAGCTCTGCCGCCACCCTCCCTGACCTGCCGCTATCGTCCTCCGCAGCAAACGCTGGCACAAGGGCCAGAGCGACGGCAAGGCGGAGGTGGGCTCGCTGGCCGTGCCGGGTGGCTTCGGCTACGGGAAGCCGGGCGGCGGCCTGGGGCCGGCGGGCTTCCCGCCCGTCAGGGAGGACAGACTGCGCTGGGCCCGGCTGGCTGACACCATGGCTCAGCAGAACATCTACGCGGTGAGCGGACGGCGTGGAGCAGGACGCAGGCGACGATCGCCAGCGCGCCGTGCCGAGCACCACGGCCGTGTGTAGATGTGCTCGTGTAGATAGACGTGCGGGGCTACAGGGCTGATGCATGAGTGGAGTATTTCCGTGGATGTGGACAAGGGCCGGTGTAGTGGGATGCATAGCGTTGGTAAGCTGAGGAATAGTCGTAGTGCCTCCTGTTTACTCGCTTTGTAGTGCTGACTATTCACCGTGCTTAGGTAGTAGCGGATTCTGTGTTCTGGCTGTTGAGAACTAGTCACAGGTTATGTCAGGGAGGGTCCGTCCTCGTCTGTATCTGGTCTCAATGTCAGCAGGCGGCTTGTTTCCCGTGTTAGTCGCTCGCTGACAGCTCTAGACTGTCGCCACTTTCTGTAGCCGATACGTGACAATGACCGTCCTCGACTCGACGCTGCCGCTCGGACGCCGACGACGCGCGGCGCCGGCCGCGTGTGACCCAGACCTGAGCCGCTGCCGCCTGACGCCGACAGGTGGCGCTCGCTCCCCTGTACGCAGCCCCCCTGGCGGTGGAGCGGCGCGGCGCGCTGCTGCCGCTCGGCCGAGCGCCGCCGGCGGCCGGACCCGCGCCTCGGCGGGGCTCGGCCGCCGGCGCCAGCCTCGCGCTCTCGCTGCCGCCCGAGCGGCGGCGCGCGCCGAGCCGGCGCCGGCGGAGGCACGCTAGCCGCAGCGGCCGGCGCCGACACGGCCCCGACCCGGCGCCGGAGCCGGCCGCGGCGGCGGTGGGGCCGGGCCGGCGGTGGCACTGGAGGCGAGGGTAGGCCGGCCACAGCCTGCAAGCTGGGCCAGCGCACTGCGGACCACCCCCGACTGACCTCTCACTGGCAGACGGGACAACTGGGACGCCCGACCCTGACTAGGTTTGGTGGAAAGTCCACCGATAAAGTTAGTACCACGCATGGCAAGGATGTGTATTGGGAAATTAACCTGCTGCGCTGATGTGAGAAATTATTGCTGATACATGCGTCACTTATGATCTGCATATTTTGGTCTGTGATACTTTCACATAAGTTATCGTTGTTTGGAGGCAGTAAAGTCTTAAGTTACATTACGAAAATGTAAATCAACCTTGAACGTCTTAAATTAGATGAACTTAAACAAGGAGACGGTTAACTGGCATTGCTCTTATCAAGTTCCCTGTTGGGGGAATGACTACAATAAAGCTAGTTCGGACGTCATTCTGGGTATCACAAGAAGAAGCCAACTTCCCTCTATGTTTCACCAGTCTTGCGCCATTGGGGGCACTTCGGCACATTGCATCCCAGTGATGATAGACATTCCTTTTTTAACTTCGACCGCACGGAAACGGGATGAGACAAATCCGCAGAAGATGAGACAAATCCGCAGAATGGAACGCGTGATACCTCACCTCTCTCCATTTCTATGACGACGGAAGACTGACAAAAGACCCGGCGCGATGTGGAGTGTTGCATGCATTTTGCGGGCATGTGTGCAACGGAATCCTTGCGTATTGCACTTATCTTGTTGACTTATCCTTATGGCTTACCTAGCCGCCTTGGAAAAATGTTCACCCACGCCTCTAGTAACAACGCATGAGCTGAAGATCTTCTTGCGCACTGTAACACCGTATGTGCGTGCTGGGCTGGCGGTTTTTTTCTTCTCTTGCCAGGATCTGGGGACGCCTTACACATCGGTGACGATGGCTAACTCGCCGATCAATCAAGATATTGTGCTTCCAGACTCCGATCAATCCAGACTTTGCCGTGTCAATATCCCCCTGTCCGATATTTGCTGTGAGCTGTGACTGTCCACTGACCAGGTTATGCTGACCGTTGTCTTACCGTACACACGTGAGAAGGTCTGTACTTGGCCCATGCTGATAAGCCCGCGTAAGGCGCGATCAGCTCTCAGATGACCGTCGCATGATTTTCTACCATGCTGGCTTGTCCTGGCCGTCGTCTCCACTGACCGTCTGCTTGTACCTGGTCTGCTAAGGCGCGATCAGCTCTCAGATGACCGTCGCATGATTTTCTACCATGCTGGCTTGTCCTGGCCGTCGTCTCCACTGACCGTCTGCATGTACCTGGTCTGCCAGCCGGAGCCGATGTTCGGCGGTCCACCCCACTCCCAGCTGCCGCCGTACGGCGCCCAGGCCGGCCTTGGAGCAGGCACGCTGAGGGACGGGCCCGCCAGCCTCGGTATGGCAGGTGAGTCGCGCAGGGTGTACAGGCGCCGGCCGCAATGAATGGGTAGTCATGTCGGGTGGCCTTGAAATCTCTGCTGAGCTATGCGTGTGTTTAAATTTGCATCATCATTCTAATTGGACGGTTGTCGTGTAATGCTCCCAGTTTCTCGAAAATAGGCGAAGGTCTCCCATGAGATTTATTCGTACTTCAAGGTGGTTTTTGCTTGCTGGCTTTGGGCAAGATTAGGTGGACGTGGTTTACACATCTGATGCCGCTTATCACCTCCTTCAGATGGGAGACGTATGCCCGTAGCCTCCTCCGAGTCCTTTGTGAGCCCTAATGTCCCGTCCCTGACCGCGCACCCCCGTCGGCAGGCGGTCGTCCGGTGTTCGTGGCGCCAGTGCGCCGCTCGGTGACGCCGGTGACGCTGCCGGAGCGGCCGGCGCCGGGCCGCGGCAGTCGCACGCCCGTGCCGCTGCCCGACTACGACGACGACCGGGACGAGCGGCAGTCGTGTGTCAGCGGCTACCGGCCCGTGCGGCCTCGCTCCCGCGGCTCGGTCGCCCCGGTCAGTGGAGAGATGGCCGTCGTCGCCCCCCCCCGCCCCGACCCCCGCACTCATCTCTGACCATAGCGTTGACACGCTGTCTGTCTGTCTGTTCACGGGTGATCGCACTGCCCTCCAGTCACAGCTGCAGCAAGGAATCAAACTTATGCGCGGAAGTCCGACGAGCTACCGAGTCGTGTGCCATTGCTCTGGGGGAGCTTATGGGTCTGGGGGATGTGTTTCGTAGACATCAGGCATGCATGCAGGGGGTTAAGGCATGACAACATATCACGTGGAGAACATGCTTGTCGAGTGTCTGGGTGGGCTCGCATGTGTCGTGTTTTGCGGATGTATGCATGATCTCTTTGCACCGTGACTGCTTTGCCGTGGTTGGTGGCACGAAAAGCAGTGTATTTGGATGGTGGTGATCAGTTTCATGCCTCATTCCACGAAAGGAAAGCACTCTGAATCAGACCGACCGCTGACGTGGGCTCCGTCCCGTTTACAGTGCTACTGTCCGCACACATCCCGTGGGAGTCACCCTGCTGCTCCCGCCAGCCGGTCCTCCTTCCGACACCGGTCCGGCTCGACCCATGACCTGGTCCTAGGCCCCGTCTCTCGCCGCAGCTCGGCTCGCTGTGTCTCCCGGTGCGCTCTGCCCGGAGGCACCCCGCCGCCCCGACCCGACGGCCGCAACCGCGACCCCAACCCTGACCCTGACGGCGCGACCGAGGCCCTGACCGTGACCGTGACCGTGACCGTGACCGTGACCGTGACCCTGGCCGAGACCGAGACCGTGACGACAGTCTCAGACTGGGTGAGAGGAACGACAGCAGGAGGCTGGCCTGGGAAGGTATGACGCAGGTACGGGGCTCGTCAGAAGGTTTATGGGCGTACAACGCTGGGGCTCAGACTGGCGGGCATGATGGGTGATCCTAGAAGGAGTGCATGACCATTTTTCGAGGGCAGCACGCTAAGGGTCCATGGATGTTGCAAAGGCCAGCACGTAGGAAGTGCTTCCTGAAAGACGCTGTGACTGACATGGTGTTGGGGTTTCTCACAGTGCGCAATGAGAGTATGTGGTAGCAATACCATGGCACATCCATTTAGCCTGAGTTAAATCTTGAAGACGTATTTGTGCTTACTCGCCGTTTATAAAGTAGATTATGTATGCGTACTTAGCAAGGTGTTCATGTGTGTTGTAACATGTTTGATGCGTTGAACATCGCGTGCTGTAGTTTGAGGAGGCTGTTGCAATGTTTTGACTGCCGCGCTTCAGATTACGAGGGCTGCACATCAGGTTGTTGTCATACTCTGTCGCCGCATCGCATCATATCGACACGTGACACTGCCTTTGCATACACCCGTGATACTCGTGAGAAACACCTGCATCGTGGGAGACGCTGGCGGTCATGACCGTGTGGGCGCAGGCGTCGCAGCTGGAAGTGTGCATCTCCCGCGACACTGTTCTCGTCCGGCAGAACCAGAGCCTGGTGTATTACGACATACACGACTTTGAGCAGCGGGACATGGGTCGCGGCACGACGCGGGGACAGCCGCCAGCGCCGCTCTCCACCTACAGCAGCCGAACCAGCAACTACTTCAGGTAGACACGTGATCAGGGGGCCCGGAGCGGGGCGCGCAGAGGCCGTGACTGCGTGTGGAGAGAGGGCCGAGACATGCTGCCGGCCCGACGGGGGACTCGTCGACAGAGAGTGGCGGTGCTTTACGGCGCTGTACCCGTTGTGGAGTGGTGAGACAGAACGTGTGGAGGGCCTCGGGCAGTGTGGAGGGCCTCGGGCAGTGTGGTGGACCTCGGGCAGTGTGGTGGGCCTCGGGCAGTGTGGTGGACCTCGGCAGTGTGGTGGACCTCGGGCAGTGTGGTGGGCCTCGGGCATGTGGTGGACTCTGGCAGTGTGGTGAAGCCTGAGCACGACTCCAAGGCTGGCCGCTGCAGTTGCAAGAATAGGTGTATTCAAAGAGTGGACTTGGTATGTTCAGCTTGGAGACTGCCCGGTCTCCCGAAGACAGGCGTTTTTTCCGTGCCGATGGCGACTTGTGAGCATCCATGAGTGAATGGGTAGAGTGTGCTGATTTGAAAAATGTTTGAGCATCGAAGTAGCTCTTTTCGTACTGCGCCCAATGTTTTGTCAATGTGCAACACAAATACATTATTCAACATGCCAAGCGAACTGTTTAAATCACGCTGAAACACTGCCTCGGCGTCCACTCACAGTCTGGCGAATAACCACTACGGAACACTCAACATTCCCCGACGTCTTCCACTTCAAGTCACAGGGTAGTTGACATTAATAACTACGCTCCGACATTTTGACCCATCTTGCGCTATTCGCCGCTCAACATGATTCCCTCAGACTAGAATGGAACAGCATGCGGTTTCCCGCGTTCCGCGCCGATGGACGCTATACTGATTTTTCAACTCCTTCAATTTCGCTCATCACCTGTTTGAAAAGGCGACCATTGCACTCACCCTGCCACTAGATTCTGGTGTTTCAGTCATGGAAGCTGGAGCGGGTCATTTTAACACCGCCCTGTAGCTAAATAGCACGGGGGATCCTTGTCGTGCCACGAGCTCCTCGCACAGAGCTTATGGTGGACACTCGCAGCACATGTTGAGACAGGTCTGTCTTTTGAATGTGACGTCCATCCTGTCCACTTAAGCGCCTCCGCCCTAAACTGGCCTCGGCTGATGGA